CGCCTCCGAAAAAGTTGAAATGTATTTAATATACTACCTAACGAGTAAATAGGTTTCATTCATATCTGTGACGTAATTGTATGATTGAATGAAATAGAAATTACTTCATTAGGAAATAGAAATTATTTTATACTTTTTAGTACATTTCGAAGTCGGTGTATTTTTTTTTTGAAAATTATTTTATTTAACGCTTTTTAGTGGAATGGGGAGAATTGTATAGGATACTGTGAGACAGTTCTTCCGGGCTTTTTTTTTGGCTGCGTAAATGCCATGAACATAATTAAGTGAAAGACAACATGGATATTCGTTTTCCAATTTTTTTTTTCGCTAATATCTTGAAAACTAAAGCTTTCCGTCAATTATGCACAAGGAAAAGGTTGTCCAGAACCATGCCCCTGACAACATATTAAAAGGACATTAAAATCGTTCGAAGTTGATTTCAAAAGTTAATAACAATTTTTTTCGCTAATATCTCGAAAACTAAACAGTTCCGCGAAATTTGTATATGAACAAAATTGTTCAGAATCATGTCCGTGATAAGATATTAAAAGCGCACTAAAATCGGGAAAAGTTTATTTCAAAAGTAACCGATTTTTTTGCAATAACAACACTTTGCGATTAAAAAATGAAAAATTTTTTAATAATGGTACCAATGGGGAGTCAGAACCTATCAGATGCAAAAGGTTTCGTTCCGATCGGTCCATCTAGCTAGGCGTAATCGGCGAACATACATAGAAAAAGAAAGAAGTTGCCGGTTCCTTTGCAATAACAACACTTTGCAATTAAAAAATGAAAAATTTTTTACTAATGGTACCAATGGGGAGTCAGAACCTACGAAATGCAAAAGGTTTCGTTCCGATCGGTCCATCCAGCTAGGCGTAATCGGCGGGCACACATAGGAAAAAAAAAAAAATAGAAAAGTTATTTAATTTTTTCAAAATGAGAATTTGTTCTTTTTCATCATCACAATATCTAACGAAAATAATTTTCCATATTTTATCCGTTATTTCTTTACCATAACGAATAAACGTATTGAATAAATTCGATTTACTTTGATTACGTGAGTAGAGATTAATTTTGTTATTTCTTATTCATGAATGAATGATAATTCAACAATAATCCAGATTTTTTTATTCATTATTCAATGTAACTTTCATCTAACAGCTTTCTATTATACCGACGTTATAAACTTTGCCAACGTGTTCTATGCGCAAAAGTAAGAAAAAAATGTTATATGAACATATACTTTTCAATGTTTTATGAAGGAGTTATAATGAATAATACAAAATTATAATGAACTAGCATTTCATCGACACAGCGCACGTATTCGTAATAAAGGACGTCATTTTGAAATGTTAACTCGTTAATAAAACGTTAATAAAAAATGTGGATATCAACTACCTGAGCAAGTAGGTAAGAGTTTATATAAACAAAAATAGAGATATTCATAATACGTTTATACACTGTGTCGACGAAATGCCAGTTCATTATAATTTTGTATTATTAGTTATAACTCCTTAATAATACATTTAAAAGCAAATGTGTAACGTCCCACGGAACCTTTTTTTTTTGTACATTACTCACCAACTGGAATAATTCATTTATCGACAGTATCTGACAATTATCGACAGTACATTAGGTATCTATTAACGATTCTATTAGATTCGACCGTCAGTAATCAGTATATACATATACATATATATATTCATTTATAACAATTATCTCGTGATTTAGATTTAGAGTAGGTAATATTTTCCGTTGAAAAAATTGAATATTAAGTTAGAATGATTAAACCAAGATAATGTATTATTTTAATTTCCGTTACACTACGATGTGCCTACGTGCCGCGATGTTCGCCCCGAAATCCTTGAGATCAGCGCTAATCCTAGAAAAGGATGGAGATACTATTTCTATTTACGGCATTATTGGATATTAAATAAATTAATTAACTAAATCAATTTATATACGTAAAATCAACCAGTACTAAACTATTCATAGCCGGAACCAAAATTATTTCCTTCAACTAAAAAGCTGTAAATCGGAATAGATTCGGCTCACGTAGAATTTGTGCTCAGTTCATTAGAAAAGGACAGAAAATGTATTTTTCGCTAAAATACCATTATACTACTATTTTAATATCGAACTGTTAGCCAGAAATTAAAGAGCGACATTTAAAACATAATTAAATCATCCAATTTTATAACTAATGTATAATAACGAATTTATATGAAAATTTAGATATTCTGACGTCACAGAAATTCCAGGAATTCGGCGAACCTGCGAGTATAAAAGGGC